GAGAGAGAGAGAGAGAGAGAGAGAGAGAGAGAGAGAGAGAGAGAGAGAGGGAGAGAGACAGAGATAGATGTTTTGAAAGGATTTTATGTACTTGCTTTTTTCAAAAGATATCTTGTTTAAACTGCAAACTGTTCTAATACATTCTACAAGAAATCACTGATATTCTACGGAGGACCATGACCTATAAAAAATTTTCTAGCTGTTCATCCTCTGAGTCATATTTCTATTGTCAAATTACCTCCCTCGCCATTTGCTACTTTAATATATCTTTTTTGCTGAGTCAGTCTTCAAAACAACCAACCCTGTTTTTCCAGTAACCTTATTATATGCTCATGTTTAACAAAGATATTATATTGTTGAAGTAATTAGGCCCTTTTTTTTTTTTTTTAGAAATCTCAAAGCTTCCTTCTTCGCACAAACAAAAGCCAAAGGAAGAGTTATATTAACTGCTGTGATAATCAACATGGGTGTTATTTAATTACAAGCTCTTGCTTTAAAATGTCAGACACTCAAGAGAGAAAAAAAAATAAATCACTTACTTTTTTCTTTTTTCTTAAGGTAACCTTGACACCATCTGTAGACACCACAAGGTGAACTTTCTTCTTCTTGATGTTTTTTACCTTGAACTCATACTGCAAAGACAAACAGAGAGTTTGAAACAGTCAGGTGGGTTCGAGAAAGTCAACATTATTAAAAATGTGAACAGGGCACATTTTGATTTAGATACAAATTTGACAAGATATCAATGGGATCCAACTTAAAGAAACAACATGAAGACATCTTGTTTTACTTCAATAGTACATTTTAAATCAAAAGATGATCTGAGAATAAGTTAATCTTTTTGAGTTGCCCTCCCTCCTGAAAGGAGAGCTTCCTAAACAGAGCTTCATTTAACCAAAACCATAAAAGTAAAATAAAAAAAAAAAAACTTACAACATTTTTTAATTAAAGCATTATTAAACAGCACCAGTAAAGCAAGATAAGGGGAGGGGGGGAGGGGTTAATAAAATTTTAAGTAAAGATAATGTAACTACATTTAACACTAAGAAAGGTAATCTCTAATAAATTATTCCTGTTGAACACTAGATTGTAAAAGGAGTGGCTTGATATGCATTATTGGTCCTCACTAATGATTTTTGCATTCAATCGAACCACCACATGTCTAAAAAAGAATGATGACCCTTTTATTTCAGTGCATCATCCCGAGTTAATACACTTAACACCTTCATTCAGACTGTTCCGTGTCTTTACTTGGTGTAGAAAATATTGGTTTTGTTGTTGGGTTTCTCATTTTGTACTCTTTCCAAGAAAAACTCCACTTCTTTTTAAGCATGATAATGTGAACAAAAACATACAAGCACACATTATGCATCCCAGATCATAGAAATATTCTCTCAGGAACAGAGTAGATTTAAATATTTTCATTTTGAGTGCATCTACATTGTGTGTAGTCAGTAGTAACCACTATCTAATCAGTTGGTTGCATCCTTTGTCCTCCCTGCAGGGGCAAAGCCCTGCTGAAGCAGATAAAGCCTCAATGGATCATGGAAACCATCCCCATTTCTTAAACAAGCAGAGGTCTCCCACTACCTCAGGGTGTTAGAATGTATTCTACCAGGACTATAGCTGGCCCCTGTGCAATATTAACAGACTGGTAGTAGTTAATAACTGCACTTTTTTAATTTTTGACTGTTTCGACGTTGTGGACCATACTGTGGCTAACACTTCTTTACAATACTTGTTAGATAGAGTTAGATAGCTACTCTACAAAGTACAGGACATGCATATACAAATATGTCCTATACAACTCTGACAGTACCAGGTGTATCAATTAAAAGGGAATATAATATAATTTAAATCCTACCGTTCCTTAAAAGACAGAAAGGAGGTACAACCCTTTTTTGGCTTGCTGTGTACCTGGATTCAGTAAAGAGTGGCCATTTATTTGAGAGGTACTGATGACAACAATTCATTCAATCAATCCTCCCTAGTTGAGAAACTTAACATCTTCATTCAGCTTTTTATGTGGCTTTGATTGATGTAGAAAATATATTACTTGCTATACTTACTTGCATTATCTATAGATGCTTTCTTTGAGGTTTTAATAATAGTTTCATGAATGGACTATTAACATAGAGCTCTGCATTCCTAAGTGAAAACATTGAATGATACAGCAAAGTGTTTTCTTAAGCAGTTTGAAAAATAAACACAACAAACTTAGGCTTCCGGTTTGATCGTTTCATTATATGACATGTATCTCAGCAATATCTGATTCACAACTTCCCAACTTCAGAAGCCTTTATATCACTTTGCACGCCAGTTTAATGAGCACCTTGTAATATGCTGTGATGTTGAGTGTGCTGCATAAACAAGTTTTAAATGCCTGATATACTGCATGACTGACCTGCATGGATATGATTACAGCAGCAATTTAAAAAAATACATCACATAACATTTGACGGGTTAAGTGTGTGTACCATATTACAACAGCGAGCACTTATCTCTAATAAGCCGTCCATTCCTCTCTGAAACACCCTTATCACTAAATCCATACCAACCACAGCTCGTTCTCCCAGGTGCATTCAGCTTCCGCTGTAATAATACCGGAGAGATGTTTTGTTTTGCATCTGCTGCATCTACCTGTGCAAAACTTACTGCATGTAATTAAACCACTAGAGGAACAGCAGTATTTATTTCACAACACTGGTGGTTTATGCAATTGTTATTTTCCTCTTAACTGTAGCACCTGAATAACTACCTGGGTGGTTAGAAAATTTAGGGTTCAGAGAAATTTTACAACACATTTTGAATCCTTTGGGATGATAGCAACCTTTTCATCTAAGGTATGACCCATAGATGGGGGAACTTTACTGCCTAAAAAGCTCAATGTTGATGGTGAAAAAAGAAGAAATTGGGCTGCTGTTCATTATTGCAAAAAGGATTTGCTAAAAGTGTTGTTTTGAAAACTAGATGCAATTTTTTGCCCTGCAGCAACAGAGTATTAGTGTTGGTGTGAAGAAATGAAAATTGACAAAGTGGTCAAGTAACAGGCTCATCCATCAGGCTAATACATGAATAGCTGCAATCCATGTTGGTTGGGACAAACAACTTGTTTTTCTGCAGAATGTCAATTTCCATTTTCCACAAAGTCTTGGTAGCTTCAACAACCAGTTCCTCTACCATTGGTGTCTTTTAAAAAAAAGTCATCAAGACAAAAAAAAATAAAAATCTTATATAGGGAAAAAATAGCAACTTCAAAATCTTCTTATTTCTGAATTTATTCGGAAATTGAAGTTTGGGGACGCTGAGAAAAAAATATGTTGGCATGAAGACCCAAGCAAGACCGTCAGTTGACAACTGAGTTCACTTAAAGCCAGTGTAAAGAGTCACTACATGAGTTTTATACATATGAACTAACACCATTGTAACCATGTACTTGGACCATGGAGTATATGTAGTTTTTATTATCATATCGCTCTAAACTAATCAAAAAGTATTGTTATGACTGATAAAACTCAATCATGAAAAGAAATCCTGATAGGTTTTGCATTTCAGGTGAATATTTTTGTCTGCAAAACTTGTTTTATGCCAAACTCCAAATTAATATTGGATCTAATCCTTTCTTGGGTAATTTAACTATATATGACAGAATATATAATGTTCTTTATATTAAACTGTTGGTCTCCAACTCTATTTCCAAGAGAATTTCTTTTAATAATTTCTTTTAAATTTTAGAGGTATTTCTATTAAAACACATCTGATTCACCGAATGTCTCATACCAAATATCTGCAGAACTATGAAGTAGGAATGTATATCAAAATTCAGCCCATAAGAAGTTCTTAAGGACTGAAGATTTATTATAAACATTTCAAAGGTGTAAAATGATAAGGGAATGAAATGGCCTGTATCCATTACAGTCTGAAGAGTGGTTTATATTTCACTGAAGCACAGAAAACTACGGCAATCTATCTATATTGCCTAATATACACATTTTATAATTACTAAGTAATTTACTTGGTTGGTGTCTCTGATGTTTTCCATACTTTGCTAATTATTTTGACTTGAAGTCTTTCATTTTAAGTGTTTCTTTTTTTTCCCCCTCCTAATATGCACCCAGTTCGTAAAAAAATCTGTGCAAGTCAATGCCTGGTACCAATGAGAAAAATTCCATTTACACAGTCCTCACATCTAAGCAATGGCTTCATGTGTATCATGAGCCACATGTGAATCATCAGGGCCTCCACCTCCTCTTTCTCACAGTAAAACATGACACCCTATGCAATGCCATAAGCTGTGATATTAATTTTGGACATGGAGAACCAATCTCCAGGCTGATTATCTTTAATCATTGATTAGTGAAGATGTAGTGTTGCTCTGTTGTACTCTTCCAACTGCTGTAAACCTTTCTCTAGCCAGACCATCACAGGACAGGAACGTGTGATCCTGCTGGACAAAGCAGTTGCTTCATGGGTGTCCTATCCTTTTTCACTGCTGCTCCTGAGTCAGACACATCAGAGAGAGCCCAAAGCCACAGGAATCAGAGCCTTCTCACAGCAAAAAATTAGGCAGGTCCATTAATTTCAGAATGGACCTGCCTACTCAGCATAATTGGCTTTCTGCAATGTTGCAATGTATTTACAGAAAACTCTGAAATACCGGAGAGTGGAGGGTTCCATCTGAGAAGTAAGGACATTAACTCCCCTGCTGCAGGCCTGACATGCTAAGCAGAGATCAGCAGAGAATACAGGTGCGGCAAAGCTAGGGAAGGCCTGAAAAGGTAAAGAATTTGGATTACTCTTGATCATTTCATGCGTTTACTGTGGCGTAATCAAACTAACAAGAAGCCAATGGTGACCACATGGAACCCCATGCTGACATGTCTTGAGCTGTTGTTTATAAAGCTGATACAAACTTTATTCCACTAAGAGTTTAAAAACTAATATAACCATATTTTTTGTATTTTTCCCAAACAGAAAACCCACGCATGCTCAGGGAGAACATGCAAATTCCATGCAGAAAGTACCTGGGTCGGGAATCAAACACGGGCAGCGGGGGTAGTGGGTAAGGCTAGTATTATAACTATATGTCACATAGTTATAAAACAAGCTGCCTGGGTAGCAGAGGCCACTGAGCAGCCCTAATTAAATATTATTTTACCAAATAATATTGTATTTACAAACCTTGGATTTACAATGTAAATTGGTTTGAACACATTCCAGTTGGTTTAAATTAGTTAACAGGTATCTGACTTTATTTTACTCAATTCAATTCAGTTTATTTATATAGCGCCAATTCACAAGGCACTTTGCAGTTCACCAGATCATACAGTCAAATTGATTCAAAGTTTTCTATCCAAGGAAAACCAGTTGATTGCATCAACTGATTGACTTGAATGCAATCCCTCACACTAAGCATGTTTGTAGCGACAGTGGAGAGGAAAAACTCCCTTTTAACAGGAAGAAACCTCCAGCAAACCAGGCTCAGTGTGAGCGGCCATCTGCCAACGTCGACTGGAGTTCAAGGAGACAGAAGCAGAGATACAAAAAGCAACTATAAAAGGCGGCCTGTCCAGAAAACATACAGTCATGCAGACAAGCTCCGAGCCAGCTCCCATGTCAGAGGATGAAGAGA